ATGGTGTTCCTAATAATCCTTTAGGTGAGTGTATTTAGTACAGTATATGCTCTTCTTTCTTTATCCGGTTCATTTTGTGTTTAAATGCAAAAAAAAAAAAAACATTTTTAGGGGTAATTTTTTGGGGCCAGGAACCAATTAATTGGTTTTCCATTATTTCATATGGGGAAAATTCTATCAGAACTCGAACTTTTTAGGATTCGATCTGGAGTTCTGAACGGATTAAGTTCAAGTTTTGAGGTACCACTGTAGCTCATCTCCAGAAAATTTGGTCTTTGGTTTTTAAGTTATTGCTGAGATATCTTATAGCGTCATATGGTTTCATATCACTAAGGCTACGTTCACACTGCAGGGCTTAATGCTCAATTCTGATTTCCTGCTCAGATCAGGTTTTTTGTTTGCCTGTTCAAATTACTCTTTTTAATGTGGGCAATATCAGATTTCAATGTGAACGATTCACTATACTGAACTGGCTGCGTGCACACAAAACAACAAAGAAGCAATGATGTGCATGCGCAAAAACAAAGACGTCACCTTATTGATTCGAAAACTGCCCGGTTTCGATATGAGCCGTCCAGTTTTGCCTGAACAGATTTATCTCCCCAGATACTTAAATTTAATTTAATCCAGCACCTTATTGTCCCTCCACTGGCCAACTTCTGTGCTCTCCTCCATGTTTGGCAGTCTGACTGAGACATATGGTGACTTCCACCAGCGCAGAATTGTGACGAACGTTGATCGAGAATGACATAAAAGTCGCATGAATTCCGATTTTGCTGTTCAGACTGAGGTCGCATTGCAAAAAATCAGACCTGTATCCGATTTATGACCACATACTGAAGTGGCCCAAATCGGAACTGAAAAAATCGGGTTCCATGTGACTTGTGCTGTTCACATTGTCATGAAAAAATGTGATCTGAGTCACATATGAGCAAAAAATCTAATTTGGGCCACATTTGTCCTGCAGTGTGAACGTAGCCTAATTGGCCTTTTTAATGGCAGCCAAACTGACATGAAATAGTATACCAAGCACAGGTGTAAGTAATAACATTAATTAAGGTTACAAATATGCTACAGTAAAATTTTATGAAAGCTTCATTAATGTCTTTGCAGACACCTGCACTTGCCATACTATTGAAACGGCCCACATGGCTAGTAAATACGGCTAATAAATGCCCTGCATTCAGCAGAAGTGAGTGAGGTGTGCAAATCGGTCCAGTGTAATCAAACAGTAGCAGATATTGTCAATTACCTGGAGGAGACAAAAGCATTAACTCTGCTGCAGAAGCGCACATTTTCACCATGTCTTCATAGAGAGGTTGTTCAGGCTCATTCAAAAAACGTATTGTGACCCTTTTAAATATCATCTAAAGAAGGTAACCCGTGCATTAAGAGTTGTGCCTGAGACAGCAATACAAGATCATCAAAGTCTCAATTTAAAGGTCAGGTCAGTGCATCTACAGAAATTGCTCTGTGAGACTATCAAAACTGACACCTGAAAACAAACAGATCTAAAGAGGAAAATAAACTATTCTGACTGTACCATTCTCTTTTTTTCACTTTGGCAAAATTGATCAATTTTGAAATGTAGGTTTTTTGTTAATGAATTTTTCATATTTTAATTAGTCACTACATAGTAATTATTCATATGGGGATGGCATATTTCTTCAATCTATAGAGCTGGACAATAGCTTTAAAACAATATGAGGATAATTTCTGTGCAGCTTACATTAGGGTAAATATAGCCAGTCAAAATCATATTCCACCCAAAAAAGTTAAAAATTTGTTCACCTAAATCTTGATCCAAGACACGGCCAATTTCAGTTTCATGAGTTACTCCTGTAACCAAATCAGCATGCCAAGTTTTGTTAAAATCCGTGACGATGAGGTCCGAAAGTGTGATGATTTGACATGGAATGACCCATTTACCTCTCTCTCAACACATTTTGTTGTTGTGCACTGTGGTGTGTCAACACTGATCACTAAATTCTAATTCTAAAAATTCTATTGAGATGCGTTTATTCGATAAGGTCCGGTGAGCTCTTTGTGGATGCTGCATATGATTGAGGTGAAAGTATAAGGTTGCCAGTTTGCTGTTCCTCTGATGTGATTGCTGTCATTCGGTACAGTGTCATATTGTTTTTGACTTGGTAGAAACTATTTTATACTTAATTGTTGTATCGTTCCCTGCTTTACGGACGTAACCTCTGGCATGGGCTCTGGACCCAGCCCCCACCCACGACCCTGCATTGGACAAGTGGTTACAGAAAAATGGATGGATGGCATTTGGGGAGTGGGGGCAGAAGAGGGGCCTCAGAAATTGTAGCCTAGAGGCCTCTGAACATGTAAATCCACCACTGATCAGTGTTTCCAACTTTGGTCTGCTAGAGTGAGATTTTCTATTTGAGATCAGTCTCACATGCATGTGTGCACTTGTGTTTTCTTACCTTGTTTAGCACTTATTGAAACATTTGAAAAAAATTCTTGATACCCTAGTTTATGTACATAACATGTTTCAAATCAGAATGATAAAATTCTACTTAATTTCACCAAGTGTCTCCTCCTAGAAAAAGCCCCTGAGCCTGTCTTGCTGAACCCATGCCATGCTGGAACGCACACCTGTGATGCCAAAGCACAGTGTCTACCTGGAGAGGGGACGCATTTCCAATGTCAGTGCAGCACCGGGTACAGAGGAGATGGACAGTATTGTACTGGTGAGAAGGCAGCCTTGGTGGATATGATCTTTGCCAAAGGCTATGTTTTATAGATGTACAGCACACAAATGTTCTTCAGATGGAGCAAATTGAACAACAAATGGAGAGATTTTTTGGGATTTGTAATGAAGCCCTATGGGCAGGTGTTTTTACCAAGAAATTTGGTCTTGGTGGATTTGGTCTTGGTGGACACATTTTAAAAATGGTGTGGTCAGGATCATTTTGCGGAACAAACAGAACATATTGTTATATTCCATTTGTATCAAAGAAGTTACAAGGTTGCAATCTAAAATAGATTTAGACCGTGATTTATTCAAAAGTCACTTTGTATTCTTATAATGTACTGTCTCCATTTGTTTCTGTTTGTCTCCATCTCAAAAGAAAGGAAATAATTGCTTTTTACATTGTATGGCTGCAAAATAATTTGTATTTTTATCAAAATTTTAATAGAAAACCATTACCGTTGGAAAATTATCAGACGTTTTAGTAACACTTTATAACAATGTTTGATTGATTGATTGATTGATTGATGAAAACCCTTTATTGCTATTGCAATACACCATGTCACTAGTCACAAGTACCAGCGAAAAAACTGGCCATCAACCCGACCGTACATATACAAACATCACATTATAGGGGGTAGACAGGTCAGGAAGATGGGGGATATAGGAAGAACACAGAAAACAGAATTACATGTGGAGAGAAGACAAGAATAAAAAAACAGCCCCCAGACTATACTCCAGTAGGGAGTACAATGTAGGAACAGAAAAAAAAACACCTCAGCAACATAAGCACATAGTCACTACACCTTACAACATAAAAAGTCGTGATTGCAACAGGGGAGGGAAAGTCCAGCATAGAAAAACAGCCATCCGGTCCTGCAGCCAAATCCAGCGCAGATCACAGACCCGCCTGTTCACGCTGGGGGTATGAAGCCGCGAAGGTGTGGGTTGGGGGGAGGGTGCAGTGAGTGCGTATCTGTACGTATGTATGTGTGTGTGTATCCTGGTGTCCTTGGGATTGGGGGAGAGGAATGCAAGAGAGTCTCACTGCCTTGTTCTTCTGGGGGAGTTGTTGAATTCAGCAGCGCCCTTGGCCAAGGCCAGTGCTGATTAGGGGGGAGCCAATAGCAGATAGAATTGGGTTGTTTGGGTTTTTGGGTGAGAAGCTGTAATTTCGCAGCTCCTCTAATTTCCACGCTGGTCTCTGCCATCCAAAATCCTTTGCAAAGCCGTGAGCTTCTCCGTGATGTTATCCAATCTGCGATCAATAGTCACAGTGATGTTATCCAATTTGTGATCAATAGTCACAGTGTTGTTATCCAATTTGTGATCTATAGTCACAGTCTGAGTGCCAACAGCTCTGCCAACTCCGTCAATCATCCCGGCCAGCCTAGTGGGGCTTTGAGCAGCTGTCACCGTTTTCTCCAATTTTCGATAAACCAGGGCAATGCCTAATCCAATCAGCATAAGACCTGTAATCATGGTTCTGAATAGGTAGATATCTTTGATGTCCTCCACGGAAAGAGCTGCCAGACACACGACCCTCTACTTCTTCCATCCGTCCATCATGTAGCCAGCTGCGTACGTTCCTGAAGGACAGTCAGGTTCCCCCGAACCTGTGCTTCTCTTCGAGAAGATGGTGTCAATTGCGTTGAGAGACCAGTTGATCAAATCCATGATTTTCATAGTTTTGGAGAGCAGGGCTGAGAGAGTCTCTCAAGTAAATGGTAAATGGACTGCATTTATATAGCGCTTTTTCTACTCCTACGAGTACTCAAAGCGCTTTACAATTTATGCCTCACATTCACCCATCCATATACACATTCATACACTGGGGGCAGAGGCTGCCATGCAAGGCGCCAACCTGCACACCGGGAGCAATTTGGGGTTCAGAGTCTTACTCAAGGACACTTTGATGGGGTCAGGAGGAACCAGGGCTCAAACCTGCAACCCTCCAGTTGCCGAACGATAGCACTACCTCCTGTGCCGCCATCTTCCATCTATAACACAAGCCTTTAGTTAAACATTTACTAATCATTTACAGCACCCTCAATAAGACATTTAGAAATGTGTAGTTAATATTGAACAAATCAATTGCAAATTCTATTAAAAACATTTATAAGCCTGTAACCAAGAGAACCTATTATTTACAAAACCTTAATAAACATTTATCAATGATTAAACGGGCAAATTATTATAAACAAATCATTACTAAATGATTACTAAGCTTGTAATTAATGTTGAACAAAACATTTGCAAATTCCTAAGACATTTATAAACATGTTGTTTAGGGCTAACTAATCATTTGCAAAACCTTAATAAACCTTTATAAATAGGGGAAATGATCATAAACAAATAATTCCCAAATGATTATTAAGCCTGTAGTTAATGATGAAAAAATCTTTTACAAATTTTAATCATTTGTAATTATTTAGTTATAATTATGTAGTAATGATTTGGGTAACGCTTTCTGTGAATGTCCTGTCTATAAGAGTCTATGAACACATTCATAACACATTATCACCATGTTTACTATGCATTATGAATGCTTTATGAAGAGGTCATCTAAAATGCATTATAGTTTCCTTCAAAATGCAGTTCAAAGTATCCTTGATTCTTATACTGACCATTATAATGCATTATGAAGGTATCTATAGTGAATTATAGATGAGAGCTTCATTGGAGCTTTTGAAGTATTATAATCAACACTATATTGTCTTATGCCTGTCAATAGAAGGTGCTGTAATGCTTTATTAATTTGTATGCCAACCAATATAATGTATTATGAAGGTATTTATAATGCATTATAAATAAAAGCTTTAAGTGTTGCCCATTGGACTAAAATGTAAACAATTCGTCACAGGTAAATGTTAAACTCACCATTTGTAGATGTTCCTTGACTGATATAAATGGCTTGTAAATGTATACAAGCCATTTACAAACCTTTTTGCATCCCCCCAATCTAAAGTGTGAACAATTCATCACATGTAAATGTTTGACACACAATTTATAGATGTTCTTTACCTGATACAAATTACCTGAAAATGCATACAAGTCATTTACAAACGTTTATGCATCCCCCTAATCGAACGTATAAACATTCCGAGTGTTACGTCAGATGCGTGAGAGTTGGCAACTCTGTGTTGCAGTCCCGCTAGCTACTAACAAGGGTCATATGTAACTGTGGCCAGGGAAATCACACTCCAGACACAAATAAAAATTTGGCTCTTTTATTTCCTGTATCTGTCTTAGATATTCAAAATGAAAAGCTTTTCCAGGAAACAAATTAAAAAGCAAAATCACACATACCATAAAAGGTATAAAGCAGTGGCACTCTAAGATAAACAATAACATCCGAATACACCAAACCTTTGTTAGCAAATGTATAAAATTAATTACATATGTTATTACTATGTTATTACTACCTGCGTAAAATTGACCCCCCCATATGTTTTAGATTTTAACCAAACTGGTCTCAATAGTTTGGGCTGTGTTCGTGTCAATTTGTGCCGTTGGAATTTTTTGTTTGTGTTGTTATAGTTTCTGAAATGTAAATGTTTGTTTACATGGTGATTTCAACTGCGTGAAGTTGGCCTCCCATTTGCATCCAGTTTTCACCAAATGATTGCAATTGTTTGTGTGCGATTTCTGCTGGTTTGTGCTGCTGAAATTGTCATTTGTGCTGCTTTAGTTTCTGAGATATTAATGTTTGTTTACATGCAGTGGCGGAGCTAGACTTTTAAAACAGGGGTGGCAAAGGGGTGGCAAGGTATTATTTTGGGGGGTCAATATACAAAGTGTTCAATTACACTAAAAATAAATTATTTTCCACAAAATGTATACAGATTAATTAAAGTTTTTATTTTCCAAAATGTACACAATTATATATGTATTACTGTAAGTATACAGCAAAAATAGAATAAGTATTCAAAGTGCTCCTTGGACTAATCAAGTCCAGTAGTAAACAAAAACTTAGGTAAACTTGGACCTGTCAAAACAAGGCAGGACAAGGCAGTTGTACACATTCAAATATGTACCACAAGAATAATAATAGAACAGTATGTATGTATGAGAGTGTATGTGCGAGTGTGTGTGTGTAGGCTATATGAGTGAGCTTGTGTATGTGCGAGTGAAAGAGTGTGTGAGACAGCTCGCGATGACTGGTCGGAAAACAACGTGTAGTCTGACATGTTTCTTGTCCACGACGTGACAAAATTTTTAGGAGTCAAAATCGTGTAATCTGACACAGCGACTATCGTAACAGACAAAAAAAAATCGATTCGAATCGTAAATCGAGTTTTTAATTTAAAAATCGCCCAGCTCTAATTAATGCTAAGCACTACAGTGCAATGTCTCCCTTACTTCCCGTTACAACAGTACTTCGTTTAATTTAATACCAATAAAAGCCGTACATACCAGCAAAAACGCTCTACATCGATCCCGCGTGTGCTGCCGCGATGTTTTGGAGCCGTTTGGAGCACGAAATACCTGCGTGTCAGCTTAACCAATGAAAAGTGTAGCAGCAACAGCACGCTGCACGCTTGTGCGTTCGTTGGGAGATTTGAGAAATGTTCGTAAAAATCAAACAGTGTAATGTTTTCAGCGGGGTGGCAACAGGGGTGGCAAGGACTTCGTCTGGGGTGGCAATTGCCACCCCAACTAGCCCTCTAGCTCCGCCACTGTTTACATGGTCATGTAACACAAGTTAGCCCCCTCCATTTGTGTCCAATTTTGACCAGAAGATCGCAATACATTGTGTTGCATTTGTGCTGGCTTGTGCCATTGAAATTGTCATTTGTACTGCTTTAATTTTTGAGATATAAAATTGTTTACATGGTCACATGTCAAATCTCTTCCGCAATCCAAATTCCTTCTCCCTGTGACATCTCGCTTAGCTGTTTGGCTGATGATGCAGTTTCAAGGTACCTTGTACTTTTCAAGTTACCCCATAGTATTTAATAATCATTTCTTTATGATCATTTATAAATGTTTATTAAG